ATTTCAGCTACGAGGGATCAATAAATCTTATCTTAGCTAGTGTTTTACTCTCAAGCTGATCTCTACTAGCTAGCCAATCTGTCCATAATGTACACACAGTGTGTAGTACAATAAGCAATATGTTGTCAATCAGTAGTTACAAGTCACATCTAAAAGTTTTTGTTAGCATAATGCTAGCTAACTATTTAGCTAACTTTAAAACTGTATTCAGTGATTTTGGTTAAACTGGATCAGATTAAATTATATCTTATATTATATTATATTTTATATTATATTTTCCTCTGACGTCCTCCGGCCTGCTTCAACTCTCTGAGATTTTTACAGATTTCTGATGGACAGATAGCTTTAGCTTAAAGTATCTCTAACGGCTAATTAATGCTGTTAAATGTGTCTGTCGTTAGCAGGCAACGACTGGGAGACAGAACGGGCAACAGAAACCGGGCCAACAGAACCCGGGGCTCAGCAGCCGGACCGGATCGAACACAGAGGCTGATGCTTAGCTCAATAGCGATAGCTGCTATTGGCTGCTACAACTACTCCCTAAAGCCGGAACAGATAATGTGAGGAAGCAAACACTGGAGACAAAACTATTGAGATCAGACTTTTAGATAATGGATCAGCAGTTGCTCTCAGGGGCCTCTGTACATTTTCTGGTTCTTTCGTCCTGTAGATTGATTTTCCAGCTTTGGTCATGTGACCAATCGCCCTTTATGGAGCCAAAAGCCGTCATTCCCAAATGTGGTTTTGGTTACAACTTTGATCCAAATTCTGAAGAAACAATTCAGATAAAAAATCATCTGTTTAAAAATTTTATTATATATTATTAGATATTATAATATCATAATATAATTAATATGCTTCAGTCCAGAACACCTGAAACAAGTCACCTGTCCATCCAGACCAGCGACGTTGTGGCGTCTGCAACTGGGAGTCGTCTAGCTCTTTGGCACATGGGGCGACCTCACCTGAGGCGGCCTCAGGTCAACATCTCAAACACATTCCCAGTGTCGGATGGGTAATTTTACTCCTGGCGACGGGGCTTTCATCCAGTGTGGTTCTTGACAGGTAGGCGATGACGCCAAGGCCACCCACATAAGATACCTGTCCCAATGGTGATTGACGCACGGCCAGGAAAGTGCCAGATCGAACTGGAGCTCGCAGGTGGAAAGTCTCTTTAGACACCGCCTTATGGTCTGGGGGGAGGGAGGGAGGAGAGGAGAGAGAGGGGAGGAGAGAGGAAGGAGAGAGGGAGAGAGAGGAGAGAGAGGAGGGGAGAGAGAGGAGAGAGAGAGGAGGAGAGAGGAGAGAGGAGAGAGGAGGAAAGGAAACAGAGAAAAGGAAGCAGATGTGTGAGGGTTTGCACTTAAACAACACATTTTTAACATTAGCTAGTTAGCTGTATGCTACTGTTAGCAGCTAACTAGCTAACGATTGATGCTAGATGAACGAGCTAGTTAGCCTGGTGTTTTTGCTAAATTAGCTAATGTTAAGGTCCAGTGTGATTATTGGAGGTGTGTTGTGTGAGTGTAAATTTTATTGTATTTTATCTACAGTCATCAAATATAGAGACGTGAGCGTGTTCAGTTGTTGCAATATGAAATCTGTTACTGTATCATACATGCTGTCATGAAACATGGTGAGAACAATCAATAACTGATTGTGGAGGAAACATCAACGTCAGACTGCTCTAAAGAACTGTGAGAACAACAGGGACTGATTGTAGACAAAGAGCGTCTGTTGTGTTTGATGGCGGAGCTTCAGCAGAACATCCGTCCTCCAATCTGTAATAAGTTTGTAAGAAAGCTGATGTTGATCAGGAAGCATCCTGTTTTAGTTTGAGTATCAGGTCGCAGCCTCCTCTCTGTGATGTCTAATACTATAATAATATAATAATAAATACACGGTTACTTATGAATGTGCAACAAATGCTTTTATAAAGACATCTACAAAGCAACATATATATGTGTATATACTACTGTTTAATATATATAATATAAGTATATATTTTAATTAGATATTAAACATTATATTCTCTATACGAGTCCACAATGGTGTTTCATCTCCCTCTGTCTGTGTTGTATCGGCCTCTCTGTGTTTGGTTTCAATAGCGGTCTGCTCGAATGAATGCTGTTTTTATCATCTACGTCAGTGAATTAAGGATTTATTTCCACCAAACGAGTTGGTGATTTTGGAACACTAACGAGACCTTTTAATCAGTTTTATTTGTTTCTGTCCACTTTAATGAGTACCATATGATCTGAAGGTAATGAGTGTTTTTATGAATGGAGTCTGGTTGAGAGTGATAAAGTGTATTACTTTTCTGTTGGGATCCTTAATGCATAGTCTGCTTTCACTGATTGGCTGGTTGTGTTTTCAAGTCAGTGTTGACCACTGAGCTCATGATGAAGGATGAAAGATGACGATGATGATGGTAACGATGATGATGGTGGTGGCGATGGCGGCGGCGTTCCTCTTTTTGTCGAAAGTAAATAACCGCTCAATCTCTGCCAGTCAACTTAACAAGCTGAATTAACTGTGTAAACGTGATTACGAGCTCGGTTGCAGGAAACTGTAAATCACCACTTCACTTCCAGTAAGATTTAATTAACTTAGACCAATCAGACGTCAGCGAGTGCGTCAGCCAACCAGAGCTAGTGGGGGGGCGGGGGCCTCCATGTGATTGTCCATGGGACAATGAGGCGCTCCCACCATTTCCTGCATGAACAAAGAACAACGTCCTTGTAGGTTGAGTGTGTGTAGCCAGAGAGTTACGTAAGTGTGTGTGTGGTGTGTGTGTTGTGCGTGCGTGCGTGTGATCTGTGTGTGTGTGCTTAAAGCACCATCAGATTATCCAACGGGTTAACAAACAAATTGTTTCAGTCTGCAACGGGCGCTGGCTTACTTGCGGACTCTGTACTGTAACACTGTACTGTAACAACTGTACTTGTAACACACTGTACTGTAACAACACTGTACTGTAACACTGCACTGTAACTCTGGTACTGTAAACTGTACTGTAACACTGTACTGTAACACTGTATGGTTAACAACACTGTACTGTACCACTGCACTGTAACCACTGTACCTGTAACACACTGTACCTCGTAACACACTGTACTGTAACACTGTACTGTTAAACACTCTGTACTGTAACACATGTAATGTAACGACACTGTAATGTAACACTGCACTGTAACTCTGTACTGTACCACTGTACTGTACACACCTGTAGCTGTAAACACTGCATGTAACTCTGTACTGTAACACAGCTGTACTGTAAAACACTGTATTGTACACTGTTACTGTAAAACACTGTACTGTAACACTGTACTGTAACACTGTACTGTAAACACTGTACTGTAAACACTGTACTGGTAACACACTGTAATGTACACACTGTACTGTAACACTCTGTACTGTAACACTCTGTAATCGTAACACACCTGTACTGTAACAACTGTCTGTAAACACACTGCAACGTAACTCTGTACTGTAACACTGTACTGTAACACACTGTACTGTACCAGTCCTTCTCTTTCCTTTGGGCAAACCCTGCGTGTACAGTTTTCTGTCTCTGGTAACGCAGCTGAATCTCAGGTGCTGGTTGTTGGTGCAGATCTGCAGCACAATCAGGAGCTCCTGCTGCTCAGCACTGGAACCCGTTCACTGGAACCCATTCACTGGAACCCGTTCACTGGATCCTTTTTTACTGGAACCTGTTTTACTGGAACCTGTTTTACTGGAACCTGAGCTGCCATCTTTAATGCCATCTTTAATTTTCATTATTATCATCCGCCCTGTGACCTTTGACCTCCCAGCAGACTGGAAGGTTTTTCTGTTTGTGATGAACTCTTCCTTTAACATGGCTCACCTCCTCTCTACTTTTATCAAACTCTCCTCCCTCCTCCTCCTCCTCCTCCTCCTCCTGCTGCTGCTGCAGAGCTTTCTGTTGTTCAGTGATGGATTTCAGTGTGGGAAGAGTTGCCACTGGCAACCAGCCCTGTTTCTTTTGGAGCTGTAGGTGTGGAGTTGCCATGGAAACCACATCCAAACCACATGCAGCACATGAGCTACCAGCACACAACAGTGAGACTGTAGAACCTGTGGGTCCGCAGACCTCCAGACCTCCAGACCTCCAGACCTCCTCCTGCTAGTCCACACAGAGCTCTGGGATTAATGGCTCTCCCTCAGTCTCCAACTGATCACTCATCATTCAACTGTGTGAAGTTTGAACTGAAAACTATTCATCAGGATCAAAACTGCCACTGATTCCTTTTAAAGCAACTATCGATAACTACAATAACTACTATAACTATTGATCAGTGATCAGTGATCTGCTTCAAAGATACCTGAAACCAGAGCTCACTCTGCAATATCAGCAGATTATCTACACACACACAGACACACACACACAGACAGACAGACAGACAGACAGCTGACTGCAGATCAGTTATATAAGGTGGACTGTGTCAGTGAGTAGGAGCAGCTTTCTATTAATGTTCTAAAAACAGAAAGAGAAGAAGAAACTGCAGCAGACTCCAAATACTGCACTGTTACTCTATTACTCTATTACTCTATTACTGCAGTGTAATACTCTATTACTGCAGTGTAATACTCTATTACTCTATTACTATATTACTATATTAATGCAGTAATATAATAATACTGCAGTGTAATACTCTATTACTCTATTACTGCAGTGTAATACTCTATTACTATGACTCATATGACTGCTAGTAACAGTGGTGCTACTGCTTCTTCTACTACAGTACAACTGCTGCTTTCATTACAGATGTTCCTGTTTTGCAGTCGACTCCCAAACCTCAGATGTCTGAGCTCTCCTGAACGCACCAACTGACACCACAACTCTCTCCAGCAGGTGTTACACCTTTCAACTTCGCTACAGTGGCAACAGGTAAATAATAACTCAGTACTTTAAAAGTGATTAGACCTGTCTGCCCCCCCCCGTCAGCTGAGGGAAGGTGTGGGTGTGACCTCACCTCATGTGACAGGTAGAAGGCGGCGATGCCGAGTGGCCAGAAGCAGCAGAGCATAGAGAAGACACTGAGGCCCAGGTGATCTCTGGGAGGCATCAACAGGAAGGTATCCTCACTCTCTGATTCGCTGGAGTAATCACTCTGATGTAACACACACACACACACACACACACACACAAGTGATAAAGTTGTGTGTTTGTACAGTGGATAATAAAGTTGTGTTGTTGCACAGTGTTAATAAAGTTAGCAGACTAAGAACTAAACACAGTAAGTATAACTTGATGAAGCTCTTATTGTGAAAATCTTGGTTAGCACCCTCAGAAGTAAGCTGTCTCTCTGAGATGAGGGACGAGAGACTTTGAGGACAACACATTTTAAAACTGACAACATGTAAACCAAACAGACCTGGAGTCTGTCCCAATCAATCAATCAATCAATCAATCAATTAGTAGATCAATAATCAGCAGATGGATCTATAATAAAAACAATCAATAGTCACCTCGAGCTCCTGGAACTCGTCTTCGTCCTCAATGTCGTAGGACAGCGTGTGAATCTTCGCCTCCTCATCACCAAAGTCCACAAACTTCCCCGAGGAGGAGGAGGAGGTGTCGAGCCCCTCGATGAAGGTGGTCTCGCAGCAGTCGCCTCCCCCGGCCTCCCCCCACGCCCGCAGGACGCTCTCGGGGCATAAGAAGAGGCCGGGGGGCGGCCGGAGGCGCGGGTCCGGCACCGCCTGGTGAGGGAGGAGGGCGCTTGGGTTGAGGAGTTGAGGAGGAGGAGCTCCTCTGCTGCTCCTCTCCTGCACATGACCCTGATAGTGAGGAGCAGAGTACAGCAACAGCAGCGCCTCCCGAGGCTCCGCCCCCAACCGCTGAGTGTTGATCAGGCCATTATGTCTGCAGGAGTCTCCTCCTCCTGCTCCTCCTGCTCCAGCTCCTCCTCCTCTCTGTGAGGCTATGTCCAGTTTGGAGGAGGTTTCAGCTTCCTCTCCTCCCTCCATCCTTCCTCAGAGGTCCAACGGTTGCTCCTCCTCCTCAGAGGTGTCTCTCAGAGGGGTCAGAGGTCAGAGGTCAGAGGTCATCGCAGGCTGAGCTCTCCTGATGAACAGAAACAGGAAACAGTCACAGAGAGAAAAGGAGCAGCTGCTCCTCTGACAGGAGGAGAGAGCAGGAGAACCACTGTGTAATACAGGTGTCAACCTGTGTTTTTAACGCTGCATTGCATTGTGGGAACTAGGTGCTAAACCATCCTGGAGGTTCAGAGCCCCACAGACTGATGGGGGACCACAGAGTCCAGCTGGGCCGGACTCAGGAATCCTGTTGACTCCAAAATCGTTGTTGTTGTGTGTGATGATGCTGTTAAGGTCTGTGTGGTTGCACACACACACACAAAATCACACACACACAATCACACATACTCACACACACACTCACACACACACACACTCACACTCACCAACCACACACACTCACACACACACACTCACACAACTCAAACACAACACTCACACTCACACACCTCACAGCACACACCTCAACTCACGATCCACACACACACACACATCACACTCACACACACACTCACACACACACACTCACACTCACACACACCTCACACACGACACAACACATATCGGATATATATATGTGGTAATACCCGACACGTACCCCCGGCTCTGACGTCACCGGTGATGTTAACATGTAGTGTGATCAACGAGAGGACAAAACAACACACGCACGCGCACACATACTCACTTCCCAAGGTGAGACACGAGCCTGCGTCCATCCCATCCAATCAATACATCCCGGATCACACCGCCCTTCTCCGACCTCCAGACGCCTTCCGTGCGCTCTGACCGCGTACGGAGCCGAGAGAGTCCGCTGCGACGGGTCCGGTGCTCCGAATAAAGACATGAGCCGAGAGAGAGGAGAGCAGGGCGGGCAGACAGGTGTCCGTCTGGTTGGAAGGATG